CTCACCAGGCTTTATCAGACTAGCAAACCTGTGTTTTTGTTTGTTATTTTGAGTTTTGTTCCACATTATTCTCCCACTCTATGCATGAGCTTCTGCAGTGATCCACCTCTGAGTGGTTGACAGTGGTAGCAGGGCACCATCAAGTTCTTCTGGTCTCAGGCTCATATAGGCTGAGGATCACAAGGTCTTTTGCCAAAAACTACAGATCTTAGTTGTCTGATGGCATTTCAGCTTCTATTACCCAGCATCCGTTGGAGTTCCAGCTTCAGATAGTGTCTTATCTTCCCCAGGGCGTGTCGGCCCATTTTATAACTCAGAAGTGATGAGGTTTGGGACCCACCGTGCACTGGCAGGATTTCATTAACCTGACAAACTCGTTCCCCAACAAGATCACACCCACAGGGGTTGTGGAGATGTGGTGGTGGTTATACCTCATCCATGGAGTCAGTTCCTCCTTATGGCTATTCCATATGTGCAGAGTGGAGCTGTACTTCCATTGGGTTTGCATAACTGTGACTTTTGGAAAGAGATCACCAGGACTTTCTTGTGAGGCCCTTCTGGGTGGACTTGAATCACCACCCCTGAAGCCAAGCACATTACTGTTAGAATACCCACCAGTTGCCATTGAGTTGTTTCTGAGTCCTGGGGACACCATGTGTGCTTCCCTGTGTTTTCATGGCTGTGATTTTCTGGAAGTAGATTGCCAGGCTTTTCTTCTGAGGCACTTTTTGGCAGACTCAGATTGTCAAGCATTCATTTAGTGGCCCACTGCATTCACCATTTGCACCTCCCAGAGGTCATCCACAAGTACAGGGGTTAAGACTTCAATACATAATTTGAAGGACACAGTTCAGTGCACCACACCTCCCATGGCTCTGTTCTACACCACTCCCCATAAAATCAAAGTGGGTGTGGAAGGTAGGATGAAGAGAAAGAGGGAGTCAGAGCCAGGTGAGGAAGGGTGGCTGACTTTCTCCAGGACCGACTTCTCCTTGTTAATATTCTCCTCTTGCTTCAAGCTAATTACATCAAGGAAGCTAATCACCTTGAAGGTGAAGAACCTGTTGGTTGGCTTCTCCCTGACCCGGTGCTCCCACCAATGTGTGCCTGTGCCTGCAGAGCATGGACAACCATTAGCAATGGGGACAGGGCAGTGAGTACAGGAGGAGGCTGTGGGAGATGGCAGCTCAGGGTCACACCTGTGTGTTTGGTGCCATTGATAGTAGATGACTTGGCTTTTCTAGCTATAGTATTTCTAACTCCCACTGGATTACTTGGTGAGACAATGCAAATAAGGTGTGTAAAACTCTAATGTTGGGATTGGTTAGTTTTGTCACTCTGGCAGGCTGGAAATGAGCCCTCCTAGAGGTAGAGAGGGGCTCTCCCTGCCATCAATAGAGAAGAGGTGGAAGTGGAGCATGTCCTTCGACCTGGCATCCCTGCATTGGACCTCCTTGGCAGAGACACTCCAGCAGAGAGAGATGGTGGCAGTAGAACCAAGAGGCATGAGACAGGCAGGCAGGGTTACCTGGCCCACAGAGGCAGAGGTGAGGCCAACAGGCCAAGGGCCAGAGAGGTGAGCCTGAGAGCACAGCAGATGGGAGACTGTCCTGATGGAAGAATTGTATCCTGAGCATGTTTCTGAGCCTGAATTGTGGCCTGTTACTTCCCTAATAAACCCCATCATTGGGAGTATTGTCTGTGAGTGCCATGTGGTTATTGCAATGAATTATCAAACACAGCAGAGAAGTAGTGCATATCCTCAGAGGAATGGTTGGTGTCAGAGTGGCTAAAATGCGGGAGAGTGGCATCCTCTCTGGCCTCATAGGAACAAGCCTTGGGTTGCTGGTGGTGACTGTCTTCCTCTTGTGAAGTTACAGGAGATCAGAAGATGGCATATCCCTGCCCTTTTCGAGGTGTGCATGGTGGAGGTGTTGATTTAGTGACAGACGCTCATGTGGAATCTTCAACTGAGCACGTCTCACACGTAGTCACACTCACCACACCCACCACACAGGCTACTCAAACACACACTACACATACATCTCACATACATGCACCACATACATATGCACATATATGCATGCCAATATATAGCACACACCACTCATATACACTGTGGTAGTTAAATATGTATGTCAACCTGGCTGAGCCTGGTTGAGTGGCTGGGCAGCTGGATGTAGTATTCCCCATGATGAGAAAAGGCAATCAACTTCATGGTGGGATCTTCCCCAAGCAGTTGAGTAGCTGCCTTTGGAATGTGGCTTGCTTCCTGTATATATGGAGAAGCCTTGGGGATAGTCTCTAGCTTATGGCACGCTTGGACCCTGCATGTAGCCATGTCATTTTTCAGCAGCCTGCCATGCTCTGCTGACATTGTGACTTACAAGGGACTTAATTAATGGCCTGCTGTGTGGTTTGGTAACATCAGGGCTGTGCTATTTTATTTGTCGACCTTGGGCTTGTTAGCTGCGGCAGCCAGTAGCCACCTGAGTGAAGATTTGCCTGTAGGTTCAGGGGGCTGGGAGCAAGAGGCAGAGCTGAAGCCCAAGGTTGAGGGGTTTCACACAGCCCCTAGAGTCTGGCACTTTTAACTTGGACTTAAAGCCTCCAAATTGTAAGAGAATAAACTCCTGTTTTTTCAGCCATCCCATCTGTGGTATATTCTTCTCCAAGTAAGCCTAGGTAACCAGAACATACCTTCAACATACCTGCACATCACACAGTCCTACACATTCACACATGTATATACACCCACACTACTTATGTGTAAACATTACACACATGCAACACCACATACACCTCACATATTCACACACATTCCACTCACTGTAAACACACCCCACACCATATATATGCACATGGACCATACACATTAAATGCACAGATCACATACAAGTCATATATACATCCCACACACAGATTCATATAACACCATACACCATCACACAACTCAAACACTCAAATTCACACACACACACATACATCACATCCATGCACACCACACTGTCTGCATACACCAAATTCACAACATACACCCATGACAAATAGGCAGTGACCATGAGTCATAAAGGGCTGATCTTTACAGCCAGGTATTAAGGAGTTTTTTTGTGTGTTGAATATTTCCTTTCTGTGCTGGAAGGTTCACCTGTAGCCCATAGAACCTCACTGAAGCATTTTTACACACACTTCCAGACAGAAGAAGAACAACAACAACAGGTAAGCCGACTGCCATCAAGTCAATTCTGACTCATAGCAACCCTCTTTGGGTTTTGAAGGCTATAAGTCTTTACCAAAGTAGGTAGCCTCATCTTCCTCCCATAGAAGAGCTGGTGGGTTCGAAGCACTGATCTTTTGTTTAGCAGCCAAATGGCTTATCCACTGCACCTCCAGAGCTCTTTACTCTTACATACAGAATCCTGCAACAAGAGAAAAAACAAGCAATAATTTTTGAGTGGGCCCACAGGTATATGTGTGAGCTGAAAACGTGTAGGATGATGTTGGGAAGTACATCCCTGAACATAGCTGCTATGTTTGGTAGGAGACATTACTACCTACATATCTATATGTACTGCAAACATATTCATATATGCAATAGAGCACACACAGGGCACAGTCGTGCAAATGTCTTAGCAGTAACCAAACACCTCGTAGGACTGAATCACTGGATTTGACCATATGGACTTATGACCATATCCTCAGGACTCATCCAGGACATAAGGCATAACAGTCCATAAAGATACTGGTCTGCATCCTACTGTGGTGAGTAGCAACTGGAATCTTAAGAGTTTGTAAGCAATCATCTAAGAATTGTTCACTTCCTCTCTGGAGCAAAGAAGAGGGAAGAAAATCAAAGATGCAAGGAAGCAATAAGTTTAAAGGACTAAGGACCATGTGAACTACAGCCTCCCTGCACCTGAAACCAGAGGAAATAGATGGTTTACTGGCTACCACTTCCTACCACTCTGCCTTGGGTGGAATTAGTAGTTCTAGGCAGAGTGGAAGAAAAATAGAGAATAAGATTTAAATAGTAAGCAAAACTAACTTACTGGTATAATGGCACCTAGTAGAAACTTGAGACTGTGGCGCTGAGACACCCTTCAAACTGAAGCCACTTGGAGCTCACTTAGCCAAACAATAGGCCTATAAAGTCTGTTTATGCACAGGGAGACAGCTCAGGGGGCAGGAGTGCATGGAGGGATGGACACAGGGAAGAGGTAACTATCAGGAAGAAGTGTGAGGGGAGCTGTTGCATTGGGGTAAACTGTAGTCAATGTCATGAGACAAAGTCTTTGTGAACTGCTGTATGGCAAGTAAATTTGCTCTGTACAGTTTCACCCAAATCACAAAAAAAAATAATAATAATAATAAAATAGGCCTATAAAGTGAACAATAACACCCAGGAGCAATGCACATGTCAGCAATCAAATCTAGGAGGCCAAAAAGGCACCATTTACCCAAAAGGGAACCTCAGGAGGAATGGGGGAGGTACTGGTACATTGAGGGGATGACAACATGTGTCAGGAGACAAGCTGTGTATTAACTGTTCAATGGGAAACTGATTTTGTTTGTAAAGTTTACCTCAATGACAATGTGCTAAAGAAGAAACCATCTTATTCTTGGAGTACCTGAAAACAAATGGAAAATTGTGGTTTATCCATCCTTTGGAATAAAACTGACAAATAATAAATTACTGTTATGGAGAGCAGCATAGATAAAATCTCACAGACAGTATGTTGACTTGACACAACATATTTCACACAGTATGACTACAATTACATGAAAACAAGAATTAGCAAATCCTATCTCTGGCAATAACAGTAAGAGCACTGATTACCTCTAGAGTGAATGAATATCCATTGGGAAAAAAAGGACTCTTGAGTGCTGGGAAATTTCCCTGACTTCATCTCAGAGGAACTTATACTGAGGTAGCAACAGATGGAGGGAAACCACCAGGCCCCATTCCCTTGTAAATTACCTCACCCCGCTCTCCCACTCACTCTCGATCTCTCCGCCTCCCCGAGTCTCTCTCGGAGCCTCTTGTCGCCAGGGCGTCGCCGCCACTTCCTGAACGCGGAGCAGCCGGTTGGCACCTGCGTCTCCCGGTGCGGGAACCGGTAACCACGCACGACCCGTCCCTGACCAAACGTGAGATTCTTGGCCCCGCAGTGTGCGCTGTCACAGAAAGTTGGTGAGAAATGCGGAGCCGGGGCCGCGTGGACCCCGGGGGTCGTTATTCTGAGTCCAAAGCCTGGGTCCTACCCGCCAGTCAGCGCCCGGACTCCCGGTGTTTTCTTTTGACAAACCCAGCGGCTCCCAGACTCCGGCCTCATCTACCAGCACTCGGTACCACGGGAACGCGCGCATGCGTAGACAGGTGCACACCTGAGTGACGTCGAGTAACTTCTGGGCCTCCCCAGGTCTGCGTGTCCATTTACCATTCACTGAGCGACGTCAGAAGCGCTGGGCCCTGGGCTGAGTAGTTTATGTACCGCACCTCCTCCTAGTCACAATACAGCGCTGAGGGCGGGAGGTTTGTGGCATTTCACAAAATTAACAGGCTTGTGGAATAAACTAGCTTGTCCGTGGAGCACACCGAGTGAGTGGCAGTGCCCAAGGGGCAAGCCTGTCCTTACTTAACGGGATGTGTTGTTGACCACAGTTTCCTGCCTAAAATGGCTCCTCTCTCTTCTGGGTGTTCCATCAGTCAGGACTCTGGTTGAGTGTTGTTGGTCCTTCGCATACAGAAGTTATGGTGGGGAATAGGTCTCTCTCCCTTCAGCAATTGTAGGTATTTGAGGCAAATGAAAAATGAAGAGTTGGAACTACTACATGCATTTATTGTTAGGTTGTTAGGTACCTTCGAGTTAGTGGCCACTCTAGCGAGCCCGTGTGTGTGTTTTTATACACACACATACACACAACAGAAGAGCTCTGGTGCCATAGTGCCTAAGGCACTTGACTGCTAACTAGAAGGATGGCAGTTCACTTGCCAGCCACTCCTCGGAAGGAAGGTTGGGCAATCTACTTCCGTAGTGATACCGCCTTGGACACTCAAGGAGGGGTCATTATGAGTCGAGTCCAACTTGATGGCACATAACAACAACAACAACAACAATTGTTAAAATATCTTTTTTTAGAAAAAATAAATAACCTGTTTATGTCCCCACTTTCAAGCCTTCTGGGTATATATTTGTTGCTTTAGGTGTTATCAACTTGACTAAGTGCCACGTTGATAATCTATCTCTTGATAGAGTTGAACTGTACCATAAGGCTTTCTTGGGTGTAATCTTTTTATTTATTTACTTATTTTTTATTGTGATTTTGGCAAAGGGTTAAAGAGGAAATTGGTTTTCCATTCAATAGTTTATATACATTTTATTTCATGCCCTTGACTGCAGTCCCCACAATGAAACAGCACACTTCCCATTTCTTCCCTGTGTTTTCTGTTTCCATTTGACTTGCTTTCCTTTCCTTTCTTCTGAACTTTCTCCCTCAATGTCTGTTCCACTTTAGCCTAGTATGGCAGATGGATCTACAGATGTGCACCTGCTCGGTGCTACTGTTACATTATTGGCCTATAAAGGAAGCTTTTTGAAAAGCACACTAGATGGGTTTTCACTACACAAAATTAAAAAGGAAGGAACCATGATGACATCACTCACAAGTTGAAAAGTATGATCTTTCTGAAAATTTACCCATGCTAATATTTAACAACACTGTGGGTAGTGATCTGTAAGGGACAGAGTTACAAGCTGAACCCACAACCCACATTGGACCACTGACTCCCTGAAAGAACAGTCAGGGTCAAGTGTTGTAGCCTGGCCAGGCTGGCCACTTCTCAGGCTCTGGGATTGGTGAATTCCTCCGTCTGTGATGTTGCAGGAAGAAGAGGCCCAGGGAACTGCATGACGAAGAGAGGACTGTGTCTGGAAGCTGGAGCCTGTTTTGCCTTCAGTGCAGGTGCCCCTCTTAACTTGGGAGAGCTCTGGCTCCACAGCACACTGCCTTGAAGAATCAAAGAAAACTCACAGCAGCAGTTTTGGCTTGAGATAACCAGTGTCAGATGTGGCGCAAGGAAATGAACACCCAAGTAGCAATCTCAAACACACACAAGCTTTTTAAGGCAAAAGTACGGTCCAAAGGAATTGGGAACAGTCCGCTCCTAAAGAAGGAGTAGCAATGAGCTTTATGCGATGGGCCTTTTCTGTTGTCTAAGTATTAGGGGCTGGATTTGGCCAGAACCTGCTGGTAAACTTCCTTACTGAATTCTACCAATCCCATCCATTTTTCTATTTACTTCCCTGATAACAACTATGCTAACTCACCCTGAACCTGGGAGGAAGCCAAACACCTGTCACTCTCTGCTTACTCACCACTATCTCCTCCCCATCCTTCTTCCGTTTCAGCTCTGCAATGAGATGTAGGGAGAACACATTCAGTCCAGGCAGCTGAGGCCCCAGGGCAACCATATTGCACATCTGTAAATCTCAAGGAAGGATTTCAACGGTTTTGACTGGTATGTAGACCAAACGTTCATCTGCCTCGTTAACTGCCTGGTGTTCTGCCTCCACTCCCCTCCCTCCTCCTGAAGTGGGTCCTTGGGCTCAGACATGACATTTTTTTATAGTTCCAGAAGGTACAGCCAGGAAATGGTGAGTTCTGTAGAGAACTGGTTCTTCTTACCATAAGTAGATGAGGGTGGATATGAATTGTTGAGGGACTACTGTGTGCCATGGGTCTGTGATTCCTCAATGAAGAAAAGTGACAGGAGACTGAGGGAGTGAGCCCCAGGGGGCTTCCATGGTCATTGGTGTCATTGGGCCCTTCCTCTGTACTATTAAGGCTTTTCTAGATATGGATGCCTGGAGTCACTTTCCTCAGACTCAGATCTGGCACCATGGAGTGTTCCCATTCCTACCCTGGGCCTTGGTGCTCTGTGTTGAATGACAGAGTCTCTGGAGTAGACCCTCCAGGCCTGTCCTCGTCCCATGTCTCTTAGCAGTTTTCTTGACTTGGCGTAGACCATGGTGCATTTTCTGTGCAGTTCTAAAATGACAACTCCCTCTCTCACTCCGTGTTATGGGTTAGAAAAGAAAAGGGACAGTAAGTTCATAGGTGAAGACCCTGAGTGTTTATGGTGTCCTAGGTGTTGTTGGTCCTTTCATGACGATATCAGAGGTAGAAGCCCAAACAGTGAGCCAGCTGGATGCAGTGTCGGGCCTTCAGACACATTTTTGTTTTTTCCATCTAGTGGGGAATGCTCTTGACTCAGGCTTCAAGATATTTGGGAAGCGTGAATCCGTAGTCTCGATCCTTGTCCTCCCACCTGTGCTTAGACTGGTGTTGTTGTTGTTGTT